TTTAAGTATCTATCAGATAGATTTGTGGGTTTTCTGTAAACATCTAAAATTAGTTTATTTTGAAACTTTGACACTAAAACCAATATTAAGTGTTATTCAATACATATTGTATGCATATTTTCAATCCGTCGATATTGGTCCCGCAGCAACAATATTTACTTTTCATTATTTTTCCAGTTATTTTCCATAAATGTAATAAAAGCGGTAAATGAAAAACACTGTAAATTTCAAAAGCGAAGGCGTAATGGTCTGTCAAGAAGCTCATAACAATTTCAGCGAATTTTAAACCCTGACGAAATCATCAATCGACAGATAATATCGTATGCAAATTTACTTTCTATTTCCTAAAATTGTTTTTCTTACTTCTCTCACAATCAACTACTATTTTATGTTCTGTTCAACCAAAAATGTAGAGAACCACGTGTACGAGTTTTTATTAAATACTACATTGAGTAATTTAGGCTATAGAACTTTGTGCTGTGAACTTAAGCTTCTTATAAATCTTAACATCTTATGAGCATGCCGGGTGGCATGGCGTCTCAAAAGTGGCTCTCCCCTATAACTTTTCAATTTTTTCAGAAAAAAAAACGAGATTTGGTATGTTAGTACTTGACATAAATTAGGATTGATTGACGTGCAACACATTGACATGTTCATTCCACAACAACTTATTTAATTGTTTTTGGTCACTTCCTGTTTTACCTAAAATGACTATAACTTTTGATTTTTTAAATGGCACCCTTGGTATATTTTTACTTTATTCGTTAGAAAATGACACTCTGAATAGAATGACATATCACATGTCAACTTTTGACATTTTTGCTATAAAAAAGCTAAAAAAGTGTCATACCTATATTGTTGCAACATAAGTGTCAAAACATGTTTTCATATTTTGTGGAGAGGACTTAATACTTTGGCCAATTAATAGCATTATAAACATGTTTAAAGGTTGTCGTTGGACTTGGAGTAAGGCAGATTAATAAAATTGCCTTTAGCTGTTGATTGAAACAATGGGGAAGATATGCAACCTAATGGGCAAATTCGTGACAAGGCTTATTTGATTTCCCCTTACGTCTCAAGTGGTCTACGGTGGAGCCTCTACTCGTTCTGCAGCCAACACATAAGACACATCATTTCCTCTAATTCTGCTAGCGAAGGCATGTCGAAGACGGTGTGGAACTGAAAGCGACAGTATTGCCATATTAAAATGTGTAATTTCTGTAATTTTTGACGAAAATATCTTTTTATGAAAAATTCGCGTTTATGTATTGAGAATTTATTCGTTAAACATAGAATAAACAACAAAAATAGAAATTGTTTTATTGGTACTGAATATTTTCTTTGATCGAAAAAAGGTCGTTTCGTTGACTTGGATATGACGACTATAGACATTTACCGTAATATTTTACATATGAAATAACAGGCGATCTTCATTTCCAAGCCAACTCTTAAGCCGTTCTTTGTTTAATCATTATTATATTAAATTGTTTAATGATAGAAAATCCGTATAATTAACGTAATGTACCCAAAATCCGTAAATCTACGGATTAATCCGTTGTTCTGGCAACACTGTCTCCGTTAACCACTCACTCTGTCGACTGAAAGCAGAACTACGGGACAGTATTCTTTATCCGCTGCGTTGTAAACGACTATTAGTGCGCAAAGGCGCAGAGCTAAACTAAATCTCGGACAGGTTGACTAGCGGCGACGGTATCGCCAGCTACATATCGGACAGGTTTTGTGCCACGAAATCGCCCATAAGGTTGCGCATCTTTTTATTTCTTCAGTCAACGGTTTAACTCATCAAGCAAATCGAAACCGATAAAATACCAGAAAACAACTTTTAATCGGGCTACACAGTTGTTCTAACAAGAGAAACAAAGTCAGTGGGATATAATAAACACAGTTTTTATTTAGTTTTTATTTAGACAATTACTCCAGTGATAGCCCATATGCATGTCCCTGTCGACACTTTTATAGCATTAAAATACATATGTAACACTTATAGTAACTTTTACCGTCAAAATTTTATTTGAATCGCTGAAGACAGTTGGAAAGAAATTATAATAAATCGAATAAAAAAGAAGACTTTAACGCCCGAAACAAAGTAGAATCGGAGAGATTGCACGTTTTTTGATACACCCTGTATAATCAGTAGCGACGCGTGGTTCAATACTTTAGGGGTGCATAATCTTAGAAAAACCATTTTGTCACACAAAATGCCTGTGTGCTAAAACTGATTTTAAATATTGCAGGCTAGTTTTAATTATAAAAATAAATATGGCTACTTAAATATTTTTTAGTCTATGTAGATTTAAATCAAACCAGTCAAAGACAGATGTTTTATTAAAAAACCTTACAAATTTTTAAGTGACTGTTATTAAAATGTCTATTCCAAACATAACCATGTCGTTATAAAACAAAACATACTGGAGAATATTACATTTCTTTATATTGAGATAGGACAGTTTTTTTCCACTCTTTTACAATATACCTAACTAATGATTTATAGTAATTTTATAAAATATACCATAATATTTACAATTATATGTCAATTATAAATTTCGATGGTGTCAAAAAGATTGCTTTGTGCTGACTAACGATCTTTCTGTATTCACTTTTATTTTTTTTTATTTCCCAAAAATAACACTGTTGCGATGAGCAATCCAAATAGTCATCGTTTGAAGTTATTGCTCTTTGTAGTACAGGCAAAATAAGGTTAATTTAATTTTGCTTGAATATCTTTTCGTATTTTTCTAAGCGAATGTTATATTTCTCAAAGTAAGTATATTTATCTTTAGATAACAATATACAAAAAAAATGTCCGCCATATGATCGAAAAGAAAACTGTGCCAGTTGAAGTCTTGATCGTTGGAGGATTCCCATTCCAGGTTACGGAAGGAGTCTTCCAGGTTCTTCAGTTCCGCTTTAAGTTGGTTTCCAGTTGGTTTCTTGGAAAAGCTGAATAGTTCTGGTCCAGTTAGTTGGAGTGTTCGCTCCTTTTCTAGCTAGATCGTTTGCTTTTTCATTGCCTTCTATCCCTTGGTGAGCCAGGCACCCAGAGTAGGAGGATTTTATTTTCTTTGCCAAATTTGTTCAGCTTCTCTATGCATTCTTTAACAAACTTCGAATTAATGATTACTGAGTTGATCGCTTTTAGTGCTGCTTGACTATCGGATAATATGGCTATTTCCTATTTTTGATAGTTCCTTATCTAAGATAAATTGTACACATATTTCGATAGCGTGTATTTCTTAATTGCGTAGATATATAAGATACCGTACGATCGAAGAAAAACGGTGTCCAGTTGGCTTAGAAATGACGATCGATGACAAATCCCATATCATTTTCTAATAAAATAACAGCAATCTTCATTTCATAGCCATCGCTCACGCTGTTTTTTTCCCTAGATCTTATACACATGGTCAAAATTATTGCATATATCGTTCAAAAATATACGGAAAGGACTTTAAAGAATCTTTTTTAATCAATAGCTTTGATAATATGTAATAAACATTTTGTTTGTTAAAATGGATATGGTAAAGAATGTTTATCGTTCAGACCCAATATTATTACAAATTCTTGCACATTTCGATTTGTGGCTCTTGGGTTTTAGAAGAAATTTGACCATTGTTTTGGCCTTAAATGCCTAGAAACACTATTTCACAGTTTAATAGAGTCAGAATAGTAACACTGTCTCAACACACGGGCTACCGGCAAGTTGCAATAGCTGAAATTGTATGAGTTAACCAAAGCGATGTTTCGCGAATATTAAAAAAGATCAGGTAGACGAACGAGGTTACAGACTGGCCTGGAAGAGGTAGAAAGAGAGAGACTACTTCTGTGCAAGACCGTCAAATATCCCTAATTGCACGACGCAATCCCCTACTTTCTAGTACTGCTATTAAAAATGAGTTAGCTCGCCTTGAAGGAGTAGATGTTTTAAGAAAGACCATAGCAAGAAGACTCCATAACAGAGGATTGCACAGGCCTCTACGTGTTCCGAAGCTTAATTTACAGCACAAAATTACGCGACTACAATGGGCTGAGGAGATGAGAGCAAATGGACCTAATTGGAATTTCGTCATGTTTAGTGATGCGGGCGAGAATAGGCCTAGTGTCAGACTCGCGACGAACTTTGGTCTTAAGAGCATCTGGAAGCACGCTTGAATGCAGCTCAACCCCGTGTTCCGTTTCAGGGGGAAGCATTATGGTATGGACAAGTATAATGCATGGAACTCGAACTCCTCTTGTTTTTATTGATGGCACAATGACAGGTGCCTCATATCTTAGAGACGTTTTAGAGCCTATTATGCGTCCATTTCGAGGGGCAGTGGGGGATGAATTTGTTTACATGGACGATAATGCTCCTCCCCATCGCACTTCAGCGGTTCGCGAATTTTGTGAGGAAGAGGGTATAAGGGGGAAAACTGTGGTGGCCACCGATGGTCTTCAGATATGAATGTGATCGAGCATGCTTGGGACATGCTAAAACCCCATATTGCCAAAAGTAATGATCCCCGTACTTTAAATGAATTGAAAATTGCTGCGCGCAAAACATGTGAAGCCTCAACATCTTCTGAACAACGTAATTAAGAGCATGCCACGTCGTCTCACAGCTTGCATTGAGGCTCGAGGAGGCAATACTATACTTTTGTGTTTTTTCTCTTTAAAAATTAAATATCATTTTTTATTTCTACAAAAACCAGATACAACGCTTCAAACATTTGCCAAAACAGTCTTTGCTTATTATCTCAAAACAACGTTTTTGGGATAAGGCGGGTTTTGCAAATTGATGCCTCATTTATATAAAAATTATATGAATTTTTAATAAGTAACGAATTAAATTTTACTTTTACTGGACTAATACGATTGGAGTTTTGGAATTGAGGCTCCCCGGTTTATACGTGCCAGGTGATTGGTGAGTTGCCAAAAAATTAGTTTTGAATCCGCTTGCCAGCTACTTAAATTTATGATTTTCCTTTGCTTTCTTTTCATTATGTTTTCGGACGTACACAAAAATTGTTTACATCGAGTAATCGCCAGAGTATTACTATAAAACAAGCAATTGTTGTTCGGATGTGGTAGTGTATACACTTTCGGTAAACAACTGTTTTGAACTGAGTATTGGGAGTTACTTTTGCAGTAAGTACAATGTTTTTTTTTAATTTAAGATAAATTTTCCATACGGGTTAATTATTATTTATTTATTTAATTAAAGTCGATATTAATACATCTCTAAGTATCAACATTTGATTTCATATTTTACTTTACATATTTATTTTTTTATATCTTCGAGCCCTTAGATCCAGACTAATTTAATTTTGCTATGTTCTGATAATGTATTTAGAGCACGCACAATCGCAACAAACCAATATTTAGATAGTAATACAAATTTTTATGTAAAATATCGTAATTTGACAGTCTGGTACTGAATAGGCTGTGACTATAACTATAATTAATTTTAAATTATAACAAATATCAAATATCTTTATGTAAGAGATAAATACCTACATTCATAACGTTTTGGCCCAGTTAAATTTCTGAATTAATGGAAAACTTGTGTTGTTATAATTAAAATTAATTTGTTCAAGAAAATGTCAAAATTTCATGTCGCATGAAAGCCAAACATTTAGACCGTCAATTAATTTTTATGAAAAATTGCTTTTGCTTCGTATAAGTCATCTTCAGGTAATGTATAGCTGTGAGTCAGTTTATTTTGTTGGTTTTGTTTAACTTTAATCCGACTGAAATAATGGGTATTGTTACAGAGGAAAAAAGATTAAAACTTAAGATAGAGATTCATATTTAGCTTAAGGTGCGTACTTACTGAGCGAACGAATGCCGAATGAACAAAGAACTCCGAATGATTCGTCAAGTGTGTACGTAAATGCGAAAGCGAATCGAACGGCATTTTTAAGTTCGGTTCGCCGTCGCCTGCGTTCGGTCGGTGAGCGGTACATCAAAGAGATTCGCAGTTCGGTGTTGACGAGATTCGCGGGTTTTTAATTTTTTGGGGGAACTCCGAATCCGAATTTTTATTATTTGCATTTGGAGGCTGTGTTTTTTGGTGGAATTGCTTCTCAAAAGTTTGTTGACTTTTTGCAAATTTTTTCACTGATTCTTCCAAGTAAAAATTCAAAATCTGTAGGAGATATTCTACAAAAATTAATGAACTGTCCCAGATCTCTTCTTAAATCAATTAAAAGGTCCAGTCCCCTATATTTATCCCGATTTTGATAAACCTTTGACATCCAATGTTTTCTTTTCCTTTTTTGTTTTTTTTTTTGCTTTTAGTGATCCCGCAATAATTATAAAAGCTGATGCCGCTATAATTTTGTCACACATTTTTTCTGCTAAACGAACTCACAAACCGACGAAGCCAAGCAAACAGCGAACTTTCGGCATTCGTTTCGGATTCGCTCATTGGTAGGGTACTTGAATTACGGCCGAACGAACCCAGAACCTTCGTTGTTCGGACTTCGTTGTTCGTTCGGCATTCGTTCGCTCAGTGAGTACGCACCTTTAGAGAAGTGAAAATATTTCAACTTTTTCTCCTTTTTTGAGTTATAACTCAAAGAAACTAAAGGCTTTGACACAAGTTTTAACTTGTCTTGGCACCTTCAATCTACTGAAGTGTTCGTTGGGGAAACAGTGTCTTGTTAAAAACCCTGTGACAATCCTGGTCATAACTAAATGTTGAATTTTTTTCTACAATTTTAAATTTCTTTTTTCGATTTTCGATATAGCAGCTCAAGGCAAGAATTTTGTATTTAGTAATAAGGGTAATATACAGGGTCGTCCGAACTGCATTCCGGAAACATTGGCAGCATATTCTGCAGATAAAAATAAGTAAAAAGTTCGTATAAATGTATGTCCTAAAATGCTTAGTTTTGGAGATATAGGATGTAGAAGTTTAATTTTTATTTCGATTTTTTCCAAATAATTTCTGCAGTAACGTCAACATTTTGATGAAAATTGGCATCTGGGAGTTATTTGACATGAGAAATTTAATTTTGATGTCAATATGACTCCTATTTGTAGAGGGCGCTACCTACATATGTTTTAACTGTCTTTGAAAAAAATCGCTTGGTAAAAATCGCTATGAGTGACCGTTCTCAAGATATTTAGAATTTAAATAATCAATACATGTCTATTATTGACAAAAAATAAACATGTCGAGTAGATAGTTATTTGACTGAAATAATAAATTCGGGAAATTTGTTATTTTTTAAATTAATCATAAATTTTTCTGCGAAGAAACGACGATAAAAAAGTTTCTGTTGAACTTTTGGCACAAAAACATTTCAAATTTATGATTTCAGTCTAATAACTATTTAGTCAACATGTTTAATTTATGTCAATGATGACAGGTATTGATAATTTTGATTCCAAATAGCTCGAGAACCATTATTCGTAGCTATTTTTTCCAAGAGACCTTTTTTACGTAGAAAATATCGTAAATGTATATTGTTTTACTCAGTAGTTTCATACAGGTAGAAACAAAAAGTTATTACTCTTCAAACCAGTTAAATAATATGTAGGTGGCGCCCTCTACAAGTAAGAGTCATATTGACATCAAAATCAAATTTCTCATGCCAAAAAACTCCTAGACACCAATTTTCATCCAAATATTTATGTTACTTCATAAATTATTTGGAAAAAATCGAAATAAAAATGAAATTTCTACACCCTATATCTCCGAAACTAAACATTTTAGGACGTACATCTATACGATTTTTTTTACTTATTTTTATCTGCAGAATATGCTGCCGAAGTTTCCGGAATACAGTTTGGACCACCCTGTATACTAAAAACTGAGAGAAACTTTGTTTACCTTTAAAAATATATAAACAAGGCTTTTACTTAAAGATCTGACTGATATGACACAAATATATACCTTAGTTTATGGCTCATAGATGCCGTTCAAACAGTAGCACTTAACCGTTAACTGTAAACTATAATTTCCAGCTATAAAGGCTACCAGTGCAATTTTTGAAACTGTCTGTTATTTTAATATTTCCCATTTATTATTCATGTCAAGGAGTCATGAGGACGGCTTTAAAATATTAAATAAAATTTGGCATTCCGAAGATTGTGCCAGGAAAAATATACATTGCTGTCGTGAAAAAAAGCAGTCGGCCTATTATAATTATGTGCGTTAAGTGAAGATAAAACGCAACTTTAAAAATTTGGCAACTGACTTGACAGGGTTAAGTTGAAAAATGTTATTTTTTTCAATTTTACAAAAGAAAATGAAAAATAGCTCTTAAGCATGATCGACAGGATTTATAATATTGATTACCACAAGTCATCTGTTATAGAGGTTTCGGGGAACTATCCTATTATAATATATTCATGTTAAATGTATATTTGTGTAACTAGTGCATAAAGAACATATTTATTTTGTTGTACGACGCATGAGTTTTGCAATCATCAGTGCCGGACTTCAGGCCAACGCCAACTAGGCCCGGGCCTGGGGCGGCAGATTTTTAGCGGCGGCAAATTTTGAGCATACCAAAATATTTATCTTTTTTTTAACTTTTATTTGTTCATAAAATATTTCGAATATAGCCTTAGCCGATTACATATTTATTTACTTAACTATTATTATTAACTATTATTATTGTTTAAATATATAATTCGCTTCCAGTGAAATAAAATCCACGTTGGAGTCAATTTCTGAAGATGATACCGAAAAGCCTAAAACCCGATTAGATGCTTCTAGTCTCCTTAAACAATTCAAAAGCCTAGAAATGGGTTTTATGGCGGTATTTTGGACAGACGTTTTAAATAGATTAGATGCGGTCAATAAAAAGCTTTAAATGGTGGATATTGATCTACAACTTGCTGCAGATTTATATAGCTCATTGGAAAAATATTTTTCTGAAATTAGAAATCTAGATAATACTAAATCATTTGAGGAATATCAAAGAAGGGACATAGAATTGTTCGGTGAGAAAGAATATGCGGCAGATAAAAAGAGAAAAGTGAAACGGAAACGACAATTTGACGAAACCAGTGATAATGAAATTCTATTTAACGTTAGGGACGATTTTAGGATAAATGTATTTAATGTTATTATTAATAAATTAATCCTTGAAATTTGCCTACAATGACTTTTCAACCGAATTTGGTTTCTTTAGTGATTTATCTACTTTAAGTATTGACGACATTACCGATAAGTCCAAACATTTGATAACCTGTTTCAATCCAAATAATTTAGATGAGTCAATGCCTAATGAATTAATACATTTTCGTGAATTTATAAAATGCATTAAGTCAGCAAAACCATCTGTTAGAGAGCTTCTTAAAATAATTTATGAAAAAAAAAACGCTCAAGACCTGTTTCCAAATACTTTCATAGCATTAAGAATCTTCACATGTACTTTTATTACTAACTGTTCTGCTGAACGCTCGTTTTCTGCATTGAAACGTATTAAAACTTATTTACGGTCCACTATGGAAACAGAACGTCTAAATCATTTGGCAGTTTTACATATTGAGTCCGACCTTTTAAAAACTATCAATTACGATGAAATAATTGATAATTTTGCGAACAAAAAAGTACGTAGGAAACCTCTGTAGGCATATCAACAAACCTTATAGTTTTGTTGTTCGTTTGTTGTCATTTTATATGAATATTTTAATATTTATTCTATGTTCTGTGTTGATCTGTTTTATCGGTCTATTCTGTTGTTGGTACTGTATTCAAATAAATGTTTTTTATATCCTTAATTTTTTTAATTAAAAAAAATGTTAAGGGGCGGCAATTTTTTTTTAGCCTGGGGCGGCAACTTCATTAAGTCCGGCCCTGGCAATCATGCTGAGTGCAACAAATATGCTTTTTGTACAACATTTTTTCTACTATCCAACTGAAATTCTTATTTAAATGTTTATTAAAATGATTTTCAGTAATTCAAAGAATAATATTGCACTAACAATGACACTTTTTTTAATAACTTTTTTTGAGTTAATTTTAATTTTTCCAGAACGATGCTGCGAGGTGTTCAGTGTTGGTACTTGGTTTATCTTGCAGCGTTTGACAGATTTTTACAAATTTTTCTCTTTAGGTAAAGTCGTCATTAATAATGTCAAGGTGTTTTTTGCACTAGTGTAACAATTTGACTTTTAAAACAGTAGAT